CAGTGTTCTGGTTTCCAATGTGTAACAGCCGGCTCCGGTTTAATGGGGGCCCCCTCGCACAAAATTTCAGTCGTGTTCACAGGAACCCCTGGCAGATGCTGACTGATGATATCAGCAGTCTCCACAGCCCTTACCATGGTGGAGCGATAAAGGATTGTGAACGGAAGATTGAGCTCTTTCAAACGTTTCCCAGTCTCTATTGCCTGCCTCCTACCAAGTTCGGTCAGTACCTATTAATAAATATTATGACCACGCCCATTAATATAATAAATATTTTCACTGCATAAAGGTCTATACCTTTTTATCTGGGTCATCGTCCATGACATATTGCCCGTGCCTTACTAAAATGAGATGCCTTGTTGCCGTTGGTACCTCACTCTTTCCTTTATCCCCACTCTCTCCATTTATATTCTTCTCTTCTTCAGTCTTGATTGGTTGTCTGTGGTCCCAGTTCTTGTCCCACGTGGTTCTCTTCTCCTCTCCATCGTATACGTGTCTCCCGTAGCTTATGGCGTACAGTCTCTTGTTTTCTTTGAGAAAGTAGAAGGAGCTGAATCCTGCAGCACCAACAAGGAGCAGTCTCATTGCCGCCATTTTGTCCGTATCTCTTTGGAATTTGGAAACTTCCGAAGATTACAAATTCTAGGATATTTGAGGATTACAGTCCGATTACTAGCTCCAATATCCGTATACTAAAAAAACTAAAAGGTAAGGTTTTGTGTGTAATTATTTTCATTTAAAAATGGATTAATTCTTGTTTTTTTCTTTCTCTTTTTTCAGCTCAAAATGTCTAAACTAACTGCTGAGCTAATAGCAGACTCTCCTCAGTTCATGAACTCAGTTAACGATTGGGAGCTGAGCCTAAGAGGTATGGTGGGGTATGGCTCTCAGTCACGTGACTATCACGTGATCTCAGCCTGAGGGTGAGCGTGACGTCGCACGACTACTCTCACACGAATATCGTGGAGTCTAGACGTGTGTGCTAGTCATGTGATCCTGTAAAGGCGGAAGACGACCAATCAGATTGCTTGTTGTATTGATTGACACATATAGGTAATAAGATTCAAGTTATTGAAAACCTCGGGGCGACATTGGTACGCATTAGCTTCTAATTAATGCCCACTCACTTTCTAATTAATGCCCACTTCTCGTGATGTCTTTAAAATGAAATTATATTATTATTGTTTTAATTTTTTTTTTTCGTTTTGTTGATATCTTTAGGATCAGTTTGATTGCATTGATTTCTCAAATAACGAGATACGGCGACTTGATGGATTCCCATACCTAAGGAGATTAAAGATGTTAATTATTAACAACAATAAGCTATGGTAATAAAATAAGCATTATGATTGGAACAATCTATGCAATATAAGTACATGTATATGCATCAGAAAATGTAATAAAAATGGAGAATTTTCTACTTTTCGTTTTTGGCGAAATTTGGCCTGAGACCATGTACTATAGTACAGGGACTTTGACCCGATTTTGGAGCAACTTTAAAAATTCGTTAAAAATCCAAATTTGATCGGAATCAGCTCAAACTTTCTATGCAACATAAGAACATGTATATGTATCAGAAAATGTAATAAAAATGGAGAATTTTCTACTTTTCATTTTTGGCAAAATTTGGCCGGAGACCATGTACTGTAGTACAGGGACTTTTGTCCGATTTTGGAGCAACTTTAAAAATCCGTAAAAAATCTAAATTTGATCGGAATCAGCTCAAACTTTCTACGCAACATAAGTACATGTATATGTATCAGGAAATGTAATAAAAATGGAGAATTCTCTACTTTTCATTTTTGGCGAAAAGTACAGGGATTTTCGTCCGATTTTAGAGC